GCGTGTAAGTGAAGACATAATTAAATAGCTTAGACAGATCATCTTGTCACATTAACATAATAATAAAGGGTGTATATCTAAAATAACATATAGTTTATACATGGCACCGTATTCATCGCATTCTTTGTACTCAGGATCAACCTACTAAGCAGACACGATATGCAATTCGATAACAATTATTGGTTATTTACCACACGGAGATTCTATGACCCTGTGTAATCATATTTTAATTGACTTCCTTCCCTCCTACCCCTCTCCCCCCACCCCAAAATAAAAATAAAAAAAAGAAAAAAAAAAACATATTTTGTTACACCAGAGAAAGAATATAGGCCTATTGGAGGATAGAGAAAGTGTACTCATAGTATACACTAATTTCCGGATAAAAAAGTATTGACCGAAAATATTGTTTCTTTATTTGAGTATGAAGACGAATTGTCCTTACTTTGTTTATCTAAACATAGGCCTATATTTCTCTCTATATTCATTTTTGTACTATGAATGTTATCCATTTCATTTGTGTGACTAAACTATTTTACATTAACAACCACAGAATGTGAATTTATATTTTTCTAGGAATTGGGATGACTTTGACGTATACAAACGTTATATCATTTGTAGGATTAGCCTGTGATAAGCACATCTCTATAGCTAACGGTGTTATGATATCCGGTACGGCTGCGGGATGGGTAATTATACCTCCATTAATCAATGTACTGAGAGAGATATATGGCTGGAGAGGTGCTCTGCTACTTCTTGGTGCTATTGTGTTTCATGCTACATTTCTTAGCCTGATCCTTTTCAGAAGTCCAAGCAAAAAATCTCAGCCTGAAATTAGAATATATGAAAATTTTAAACAAACTTTAGACGATACAAAATGTATGGAGTTATGCTGCGATGATGGTGACGTCGACACAAAGGAAAATGAAGCAGGGATCCAACAAAATAAGACAAAAGTTGAATTACTATTAGAGTATTTACAGCTACCACTCACGTATCCACAGTTTGGTTCCGTGATAATTGTTGCAAACCTGACTTTCTTAGCATTTGCTGGAACATTCTATCACCTTGTTTCCAGTGCCATCAAAAGAGATATTCCTGAAACAAAAGCTACGCTTTTGATGACTGTCTATGGCATTGGAAATATCATAAGTCGCATGTTACATGGCGTTCCCATTAAATTAAAGGTGATCACATCGCAAAACCTCTTTGTGATTGCACTAACAGTAGCTGGTGTGTCCACGTATTTATTGCCATTTTGCGAAACATACCAAAGTATTGTGTCAGCAACGTTTTGCATTGGACTATCCACTGGCACTTGCGTTCCACTCGTATATCTTTCCACAAGAGAGATAGTTGGCATCAAGGATTTCCCAAAAGCCCTTGGTATGGTGTTGTCAACTACCGGCTTGACAGGAGTTATTGGAGGATTCTTTACAGGTATGTGCTCAATACTGTTAATCAAAATAGATTAAAATGCATCGACAATAATGCCATTTTACCTATCTAGATGTCTGAGTATTTCAAATGATTATACAGTAGTCCTTAATCATCTCTTTATTCACGCTCATAATCCGGAATCATGTGCAACCCGGAGCAAATTCCTACCTATCCCCGCTTTGGACGCTACAAAGAAAATGCTTAGCCACTGAGAGGCAGTGGGATTTATATGGACCTGCCACAATTAATTCGTAAAACCAGACCCACAAATATGTTTCTGAAATAATGTTAACAATGGCACATGTAAAATACCTCTTATAAGAGCCAGTTTTTAATTTAATATGAAAGGCAGTCTTCACTGGGCACAAAAAATATTGTTGAAATGTTCTCTCGGCTAAATATCCACTGGTTAAATTGTAATGTGTAGCGCAAACAACAGTGCTGAATTCAGAATATCAGAAAATGAGGAGAAGTGTTCTCAACAGTGTCCAAGTATTCAGAGATATGTTGGAGTCTAGATTGCGAATGTTAGCAATATTCGAACTTGTTGATCAGTGGTTTTTACTTTTATGAGTTACCGTATTTTTTCGGAAGTACAATGATAATTTTATACATTAATTACAAAAAACATTTACATATTAAGAAAATATCTATTAAAATAACTAAATTTGTATGTTCTGTTTAATTGTCTTTTTTTAGGGTGGATTTACGACTTTTCTGGTTCTTACAACACTGCCTTCTTCATCATGGGATTTTTCTTCTTCACTGGCAGTTCCATCATGATTGTTCCAAGAGTTTGGTTGAAATACAAACAATCAAGGAAGCACAGTCAACATAACGATGTGAAAGTAAAATTTAAAGTAATAGAACCGTCTTCTCTAGACATTGTTGGTACCGCAATATAAAAATATTGGTCACTGATCTGTTACGTTTTACCGGATGGTTTGTTGTTACAGTAGAACTGCCATACGGGTAACAGCCGTTATTAGAGATACACAAGAAGCTAATGCTGTCCTTGTGGGGAGTGTTCCTCTGTCTTAAAGGAGTGTACCAATAAATCTCATCTTATCTAGCATTATGTGTGTTTGATGGCGTTTTAAATATTCTCTCTGTAAAATTAGTCTGTTTGAAACTCAGACTGACTCTCCGCTTATGTCCTTAAGCTATAGCCAATGTATAAATTAATTTGTCTCCACCCAGTGGTGTAAGTTGGTACCTGGTAGTATACAAATGATGTCAGATGTAATTTATCTGATAAATTGCATGCAGAGAGCGGGGGTGGTTACACATTCTGTATGATTATTACTGTTTCCAATATTCTAGCCAATTACAATTCGAAGAGCTTTGAGACGTTAAAGATTATGTTTTTTTTAAATATATATTTGGAAGTACCATTATTTAGGCCTATTGGTGTCCTCGGCTAAGTATGTACACAGTTTTCTTTCATATCCAACTTTCTTTCAAGAGCATTGGGTCTAGTGGTTGATGGAGTTCTCCATCTGCCTTAACAGTGGTGGGGCCAGGATTTGCACGAGCGGGGGGGGGGGTCCGAGGTCCCCGACGAGGCACCAATTTTCCCTATGAAAAAAGTGGGCGTGGTCGGGTGTCGCCTAAAAATCTCTCGAAAGTGTTCCATGGGGAAAATATAACAGTTAAGGGTTTTAAAGGCATTTTTAATCGAGTTTGGGTGTAAGTAATAATGTACTTCCGACGAATTGTTGTTTTCTTCCCCGACGGAGGGGAGACAGCTCTCCCCGACGGGGGGGGGGGGGTGCCCTTTACTGAAAAGAACTTAAACTGAATAAAGAAAGAACGTAATTATACTAACATAAATCCTTTTTTTCTCGAATTTCTAATTGTATTTGAAAAATTTAAGGAAGTAGAAATTTTGGTATGGGGTAGTTAGGTAGCTAATATATAAATGTAATATATTTATATTCTTAAGCAGGACTAAGCCAAAGAAGAACAACCTTCCTTTACAAAAGTGAGCAGCCCCGAAATTACATTGAATACTGAGCAAACACAAACGTTCTTATAATGTTCGCGAACGTTTTGGCCAGGTATGTTGTCACAAAATAATGTTCACACAACGTTGCAGGAACGTTCAAACGTTATGACGTGGAATTACGTTATAAGTACTATACGTATTTAGGGTTCTACAAAATAACGTTTTAAACACCAAACTTAACGTTATTTTAACATTCTTATAACGTAATATTGCTAGCTGGGTAGTCTGAGTCTAATCATGAACCATGCTAATCAATGTATGTCAGTGAGTTGCAATAACATTCCTGTAATATTGATGGTTATATTTTTTATTGTATTGTATAAGAGAAACAAATAAATATGAACAAAATATATACGTTCTTTTGAAGTGTTTATTCCTTATTTCAAAATAAAAACCGTTTCTCATAAATTTGACAACACCAGAACTATTAAATAGCTGAATGAAAATTTCTAAAAAGGTAATAACTTCATAATACAGATCAAAACGAATCGTTTTTCTCTGCTATACATACATTTTATACAACGAAAAACCTTAAAATATTGATTACCAGTCAATTTGAATGCCCATATAAATGAAAACATATCGCTGCTGTATAAATAGTATTATTCGTCTGGTTACGGTATATTTTTTTGTAAGACATGTAGCCAAGACCGGGTTTAAATTAGCGCCGGTATTGTATTTAAAAAAAAAATAAAAAAATGGCACTCTAGCTGGAGCTAGATTAAGTACTATACAGACTTTCTCTTAAATCATTCAGTTAAGTCAATGTAAACATGAGGGCCTCAATATGATTGGAATATCGTACCGCAACAAATGTAGAGCTGTTCAGCTGTCTCTTATACACATCTAGATGTGTATAAGAGACAGATTTTATTCTTTATATTTCCTAACAAACCCCCACCCACCCACACCTA